AGATAGATTCTCAGTGGAGTTCTACCAGATCTTTAAAGAAGAACTAACACCAATCCTTCTTAAAGTATTCCATAAAATAGAAAAGTAGGAAACCCTTCAAAACTCATTCTATGAAGCTAGTATTACCCTGATACTAAAGCCAGACAAAGTCACATCAAGGAAAGAAAACTTCAAACCAATGTCTTTGATGAACATAGATGCAAAAATCCTCAATAAATTACTGGCAAATTGCATACAGAAATACATTAAAAAGATAGTACACCATGATCAAGTAGGTTTCATTCCAGAGATGCAAGGCTGTTTAACATACAGAAATCAATAAAAAGAAATTCAGCACACAAATAGACTTGAAGACACGAATCACATGTTTATCTCAATAGATGCAGAAAAAGTATTAGATAAAATACAGCATCCATTTGTGTTTAAGCACTAGGAAAAATAGGTAGTGTAGGTACATACCTCAACATTGTAAAAGCTACATACATTAAACCCAAGGCCAACATCATGGAGAAAAACTGAAAGCATTCCCTCTAAAAACTGGAACAAGATAGGGATGCCCTCTTTTATCACTTCTATTCAACATAGTCTTTGAAACACTTGCCAGAGCAATTAGAAAAAAAAAGAAAGAAACTAAAGAAATGCAAATAAGAAAAGAAGAGCTCAAACTATGGCTGTTTGCTGGTGACACCATCCTTTATTTAGAAGACCCAAAACACTGCACCAGATAACATCTAGAACTCATGAATAAATTCAGCAAAGTAGCAGGATACAAAATTAATTCCATAAATCAATTCTGTTCCTATATACCAATGATGAATCATCTAAGAAAGAAATTAGGAAAACTATACCATTTACAATAACCTCAAAAAAACCCTCACAAAAACCTTGGATATCAATCTAACAAAGACATGAAAGACCAACAATGAAAACTACAAAACACTAAAGAAAGAAACTGAAGAAGACTTTAAAAGGTGAAAAGATCTCCCAAGTTCTTAGATACACAGAAAATAATATTGTCAAAATGGCCATACTACCAAAAGCACTATACAGATTTAATGCAATTCCTATTAAAATCCCAATGACATTCTTCATAGAAATAGAAGAAGTAATCATGAAATTCATTTGAAAAAATAAGAGACCAAGAATAGCCAAAGTGATCCTTAGTGGAAAAGGTGAAACAGGAAGCACCACAATTCCAGACTTCAAATTATACTACAGACAGAGCTATAGTAATAAAAACAACATGGTGTTGGTACCAAATCAGGCATGAAGTCCAATGGAATAGAATAGAATTGTCTCGTACTAGATGAAGGTACCAAAAATGTATATTGGAGAAAAGATAGTCTCCTCAACAAATGGTGCTAGGAAAACTGGAAATCCATATGTAGTAGAATGAAATTGAACTTCTATCTCTCACCCTGTACAAAACTCGACTCAAACTGGATCAAAGACTTAGGTATTAGTCTAGAAACCCTGCACCTACTAGAAAAAAATTTAGGCCCAACACTCCAACATATTGGCTTGGAAACAGCTTCCTTAACAAGACTCCTAAAGCTCAAGAAATATAATCAAGAATCAACAAATGGGATGGCTTCAAATTAAAAGCTTCTTCACAGTAAAGGAAACAAGAGCATGAATAGAGAGCCTACAAAATGGGAGAAAATCTTTGCCAAGTGCATCTCAGAGCATTAATCTCAAGGATATATAAAGAACTCAAAAAACTTAACACCAAAAACCAAATAACCCAATCAATAACCAGGCAAAGGAACTGAATAGGTAATTCACAGAAGAAGAAATACAAATGGTCTAATGTATGAAAAAAAATGTTCAACATCTCGAGCAATTAAAAAAATGAGCATTTGGGGCTGGGGATGTGGCTCAAGCGGTAGCGCGCTCGCCTGGCATGCGTGCAGCCCGGGTTCGATCCTCAGTATCACATACAAACAAAGATGTTGTGTCCGCCGAAAAAACTAAAAAATAAATATTAAAAAAAATTCTCTCTCTCTCTCTCTTTAAAAAAAATGAGCATTAAAACTTTAATTTGCCCATCAACAGATAAAAAATTTGTGATATATATACATATACATATATATACACACACAATGGAATATTACTCAGGCAAAAAGAAAAATGACTTTATAGCATTTGCCAGTAAATGGATAGATCTGGAGACTATCATGATAAATGAAATAAGCTAATCCCCAGAAAATGTTTTCTCTGATACATGGAAGATAACCCATAATAATGGGGAAAGGGGAAGAATAGAAGTTCAGAGGATTGGACAAAGGGGAATGAAGGGAAGGGAGTGGGGATAGGCACAGGAAAGACAATATAAAGAATGTGATGTAACTTTCTTAGGTACACATATGAATACATCACAGTGAATTCCACCATCGTGTACATTCACAAGACTGGGGCCCTTTAGAATAAAATATACTCCATGCTTGTACAAGTTTATCAAAATGGACTCTACTGTCATGTATAACTAAAAAGAACCAATATTTTTTTTAAAGTAGGAGAGCAGATTCAAAGGATCATGAAGACCTGCCCTGGCAAACCACTGACATGCTGTGTAACTTTGGGCAAACTCCTTTAAATTTAGTGTATTTAACTTGTAAAATGGTAGTGACAGGGGACAGTTAGAATAGACAACCTCAACTGTCCTTTCCAGTTAAACAATTTTGAGATTTTAAGGCATTTTATAACTGTGAATCTTATTATAAGCTTTTAATTACAGAATAATCTCTCAAAATAGGCTATAAGCAACTTTAAGGAAGTGGTTTATTATTCTTTCTAGCATATTAGTTTTGTATATAACTAAGAAAATTATGATTACAAATATTTGGTCTTTATAGTACACTTGAAATTAATGGAAATACATGTGCCTCCTGTCCTTTATTGTGTATATGTATGTTTATATTATAAAGCCTGGGATGATACTATGTTTTTATAACCTTTTATTTTTCAGTATTATATATTAAGCAGTTTCCCATACAACCTTACAAATTCAAAATCATGTTTTTATTGGATTTATACAGACATATAGGTAGACATAATCTAATCAACCTTCCATTTATTCCATTTATTAATGTTGTTAATAACTTGCATCATATATATATATATATATATATATATATATATATATATAAATCCTAATGTACACCTATGCATTAGATAAATGTCTCATTTAATGGATACAATTTTTAGGTTGTTTTTTTTTTTTTTGTACTGAGGATTGAACCTAGGGGCATTTAACCACTGAGCTACAACCCCAACTTTTCTTATCTTTTGAGAAAAGATCTTGCAAAGTTGCTTAGGGCCTCATTAAGTTGCTGGGTCTGGCTTTGAACTTGTGATCCCATTGCATCAGCCTCCTGAGTCACTGAGATTACAGAGTTTTGATACAGACACACCTTGGATATATTGTGGGTTATGTTTCATATAACTGCAATAAGATAAATATCACAAAAAAGCGAGTCATGAATATTTTTGGTTTCCCAGTGCATATAAAAATTATGTTTATATACTATAGTTCAAGTGTACAATAATAGCATTATGTTTAAATAAAAGATATGCTTTAATTAAAAAAAACCTTATTGCAGAAAAAGGCTAATCCTAAAGTTGGAAAAACGGTGCCAATAGACTTTGCTCAATGTAGGATTAACACAAATCTTCAATTTGTTAAAAAAAAAAAGAAAGAAAGAAAGAAAGAAAAAATAACAGCAAATCACAATAAAACAAGTATGCCCATGCATTATCAAACTCTACTCCAGAAAATTTATCAATTATATTTTCATCAGTAATATATCAGTGTGTATTTTGCTCTCTCCTTGCCAAATGTAAACATTTAGCATTTTTTTAAAAAAGGAACTCTAGCAAATAAAAAATCATTTTAATTTGCATTTGAATGTACAAAAGTTAAATGTGGGCTCTTTTATTTAAAAAATCAATAATTCTATTAATTTATGAGCATTTTCTTTTTTATTGTTCATAAGACTATATAATAGGGATATTAAACTTTCGCCTTTCATGTATTAATACACATTTCATTATTTTGAATATAGAAGTTGTAAATAATTGTTTTTCTATTCAATTCCATCTTTTACTTTTTTGCTTGAAATATCTATCTCCTTAGGCTACATCTGTTCATCCATAGTTTCTTCTAGTTCTTTTATTATATATACATAACATTAATCATTCACCAATTTCAGGCACAGTTTTTTTTTCCTGACGTGGACATTAAATGAAACTCTAAATTTTAAATATTTTCACTCAAAATTGGTTACCATTGTTAACATTTAGTTCTGTCATTCTGTTTTAATAGCTTTTCCTAAGGTAATAATTTACCTGCAAATTCCTTCTTTAACAGTTCAGATTTCTCATTCCTTTTTTGCTGTTTCTTTGAGAATTTACAGGACAATGTCTGGAGGGGAGGAGAGATAATGAATGGCACGAATCCTTTTCTTAATCATTCTTGCATCCCTTGGAGCTAATGGAATGTGTTCTGTCACAACTCAATATTAAGAGAGGAGGGATCCACAATTGTCTAGTGGAGCAAACGTCTTTAATCTACTTAATTTTGGAAGGGATATACCACTACCGCATTTCACAGATGCAGATATTCAGGTCAGGAAGGTTATGTAACTTGCACAACGCCTCGGGGTTAAAGTGAAATCTCTCCCTGACTACAAATCCTTTTCTATATGAATAGTGGCTATACAGCCTCAGAAGAAAGCTTGTCCTGCCACAGCCGGTGTGTTCCCTCTCTTTGCTTTTGATCTAGAATAGGAAAGCAGCAAAGACCGCAATAGGTAATCGGACACCCTTTGGCAAGGCTATGCAGGTTTTCCGCTGTAGTCCACACCAGCCCTGTGGCGAGACGGGTTCTCACGCTGTAACCCACACAGTTTCCAGGCTTTTCTGGACTAAGGGGAAGCGGCTGTGGTTGCAAGGCGGCTCAGTGCGTGGAAAACCCGGGTTCTCCGCGGGCTCCAGTTTGCCTCCTCCAGGGCCGACTCGCTTCTCGCTCCCGCCACATCTTCTCCGCCCCCTGCAGGCCGGGCGGTGGGACTGCCCCGTCACAGGCCGGCGACCTAAGGAGCCCAGGCGGGCAGAAAGCTGACGCGGAGTCGGCCGCTAATGCTCACAGCGCAGTCCTCCATGGCGCGCGTGCTGATCGTGGGCGCCGGGCTGACCGGAAGCTTGTGCGCAGCGCTCCTGAGGAAGGTTGTTTCCGGTCCTCTGTACCTCGCTGTGTGGGACAAGGCTGGGGACTCAGGTGGGTTGCCTGTCGGCCCCAAACCTGGGAAAGGTGTGAGCTCTCAGCTCCAGCACTGCTGGTGGCAGCTCATGCGCAGTGGGCGCCATGTCACGTGACGGGACACTTCCGCTGTTCGGGAGCGGGCCTGACCGGGAAGGGGCTGTCATTCCCCAGCCAGGTTCTGCTTATGCTACCCAGCTAGGCCTGCGGGGGTGCCTGGGAGGCGCCCTCGAGGAGTTCACAAAGCGGGAGCTTACCCTGTTTCTAATAAATGGACTTTTGCCTTTACCTGCTTGCCATTGCAGCTTTCCCCGGATTCTCAGCTTCCCTAAGCGGCTGCCCATTGACCCCGCCTTTCAAAAACCTAGTTTTCAAAATGCTGTCATTCTCTGGACTCTTGACAGTGTGAAAGAAACGGCCCCGCTGATTCTGCCATTCTGGCTTTTCATCAGTCATTTTATTTATCCATCCCAAACCTCCATTCATTCCTTTTATTCAAGTTAACTATGCACTAGGAAGTGGGAGACACTGCTACAGGTACTCAACTCCTTTCCTTACTCCTCCCTACTTAAAAAAAAAAAAAATCTCTTAATGACCAAATTATCTGTTGACTTCCTTATGATAATGTTAGGTGACAAAGATTTCAACTTAAAAATAATTTTGTTTTGCAGTCAATGGCTTTATTACTTAATTTAAAAAATTGTTCTAATTAGTTATGCATGACAGCAGAATGCATTTCAATTCATTGTACACAAATGGAGCACAACTTTTCATTTGTTGGTTGTACACGTGTAGTCACACCTCTGGTGCAATCATACATGTACCTAGTGCAATGATGTCCCGTCTCATTTCACCAACTTTCCTACCCTCATTTCCCCTCGCTTTCGTTTCTTCCCCTTTGCCCTATCCGAAGTTCTTCCATTCTTCCCATGCCCTGCACTCCATTATGGATCAGCATCCACTTATCAGAGAAAACATGTGGCTTTTGTTTTTTGGGGGGATGGATTTACTTTGTTTAGCATTATATTCTCCAACTCCATTTACCTGCAAATGCCATAATTTTATTCTCTTTTAATGTTGAGTAATATTCCATTGTGTAAATGCACACAGTTTCTTTATCCATTCACCTATTGAAGGACATTTAGAATGGTTCCACAATTTAGCTATTGTGAATGGAGCTACTATAAACATTGATGTGCCTGCATCACTGTAGTATGCTGATTTTAAGCCTTTTGGGTATAGACCACGGAGTGGGATAGCTGGGTCAAATGGTGGTTCCACTCCAAGTTTTCTAAGGAATCTCCATACTGCTTTCCAGAGTGGTTGCCCCAATTTGCAGTGCCACCAGCAATGTATGAGTGTACATTTTCCCCCATATCCTCGTCAACACTTATTTTTGCTTGTGTTCTTGATAATTGACATTCTGACTGGAGTGAGATGAAATTTTAGAGTAGTTTTGTTTTGATTTACATTTCTCTAATTACTAGAAATGTTGAACATTTTATCATATATTTGTTGTTTGATTGTATATCTTCTTCTGAGAAGTGTCCAGTTCCTTGGCCCACTTTATTGATTGGGTTATTTGGGTGTTTTTTTTGTTTGTTTGTTTGTTTCTTTGTTTGTTTTGGGGTGTGTGTGTGTGTGTGTGTGTGTGTGTGTGTGAAGTTTTTTGAGCTCCTTATATATCCTGGAAATTAGTGCTCTATCTGATGTGTGTGTAATAAAGATATTCTCCTACTCTGTAGGCTCTCTCTTCACATTATTGAATATTTCCTTTGCTGAGAAGTTTCTTACTTTGAATTCATCCCATTTATTGATTGTTGATTTTATTTCTTGTGATTTAGGAGTCTGGTTAAGGAAGTCAGGACCTAATCCAACATGATGAAGATTTGAGCCTACTTTTTCTTCTATTTAGGCGCAGAGTCTCTGGTCTAATTCCTAGGTCTTTTTCCACTTTGAGTTGAGTTTTGTGCATGGTGAGAGATAGCAGTTTAATTTAATTTTGCTGCAGATGGATTTCCAGTTTTTCCAGCAACATTTGTTGAAGAAGCTATCTTTTCTTCAATATATGTTTTTGGCGACTTTGTCTAGTATGAGATAACTGTATTTTTGTGGGTTTGTCTTTGTGTCCTCTGTTCTGTACTATTGGTCTACATGTCTATTTTGGTGCCAGTACCATGCCATTTTTATTACTATAGTTCTGTAGTATAGTTTAAGGTCTGGTATTGTGATGTCTCTTGCTTCACTCTTCTTTCTAAGGATTGTTTTGGCTATTCTTGGTCTTTTATTTTTTCAAATGAATTTCATGATTGCTTTTTCTATTTCTATGAGGAATGTCATTGGAATTTTAATTGGAATTGCATCAAGAACATGTGAGATCTTTCCACCTTCTAAGCTTCTGTCTTCTTCAATTTCTTTCTTTAGTGTTCTGTAGTTTTCATTGTATAAGTCTTTCACCTCTTTTATTAGATTAATTCCCAAGTATTTTTTTAGGTTATTGTGAATGGGGTAGTTTTTCTAACTTCTCTTTCAGAGGGTTCATCACTGATGAATAGAAATGCATTTGATTTATGGGTATTGATTTTATATCCTGCTACTTTGCTGAATTCATTTATTAATTCCAGAAGTTTTACTGGTACAATTTTTTGGATCCTGTAAGTATAGAATCATGTCATCAGCAAACAGTGATAGTTTGAGTTTTTCTTTTCCTATTCATATCCCTTTCATTTCTTTTTTCTGTCTAATTTCTCTGGCTAGAGTTTCCAGGACTATGTTGAATAGAACTGGTGAAAGAGGGCATTCCTGTTTTGTTCCAGTTTTTAGAGGGAATTCTTCCAGTTTTTCTCTATTTAGAATGATATTGGCCTTGGGCTTAACATAGATAGCTCTTACAATGTTGAGGTATATTCCTCCTATCCTTAGTTTTTCACAGGGTTGTTGTGAAGATTAGGTGGGATTATATGTAGAGCAAATAAAGGGCTAAATAATAATAACTGTTGTTTTATCAAATGCTCTTTCTGCATCTGTTGAGATGATCATATGATTTTAAGTCTATTGATACGATGAATTACATTTGTTAAGCCAACCTTGCATCTTTGGAATGAACCCCACTTGATCATTGTTCACTATCTTTTAAATATGTTTTTATGGGACTTGCCAAAATTTTATTGAGAATTTTTGCATCTATGTTCATAAGGGCTATTGGTCTGAAGTTTTCTTTCCTTGATGTGTCTTTGTCTGGCTTAGGTATCAGGGTGACACTAGCCTCATAGAATGTGTTTGGAAGGGTTCCTTTCTTTTCTATTTCATGGAATAATTTGAAGAGTATTGATATTAATTCTTCTTTGTTCTGGTAGACTCAGCTGAGAATCCATCTGGTCCTGGGCTTTTCCTTGTTAGTAGGCTTTTGATGGCATCTATTTCATTGCTTGAAATTGATCTGTTTAAATTGTGTATGTCCTTCTGATTCAGTTTGGGCAACTCATATGTCTCTAGAAGTTTGAAGGTGTCATTGATATTTTCTATTCTATTGGAGTATAAATTTTCAAAATAATTTCTAATTATCTTCTATATTTCAATAGAGCTTAAGAATAATTTTTAAAAACACATTTGTAAAGAAATTTATTTGGGGTAATCTGGGATGAATTGCATTACTTCAAAAAGCTCATTCTAATGTACTGACATTTTCCTGTGGATTAATTCAAGGGGGAAGAATGACTACTGCCAGCAGTCCTCATAATTCACAGTGCACAGCTGATTTGGGTGCTCAATATATCACCTGCACTCCTCATTATGCCAAAAAACACCAAACGTAAGTTCCTTGCAAGTGGTGGAATCAGTTTTAGCAGTTGTATGCTATAAAAGGACACAAATCATTTATTTTTAATGTACTTTAAAAATGCCACTTGTAGAAATGATTATGATATATCATTGTTAATGAAATTAGCTATAACATGTTCACTTGAGTAAAGTAGGAAACTGCAAAACACCGCCCTCACAGGGTTATTGTGAAGATTAGGTGAGATTATATTTAGAACAAATAAAGGGCTAAATAATAATAATAACTGTTGTTAGTGTTGAGGAAGAGGGAAAATATCTGTGATGGAAGTCAATCTTATCAAAATTTAACATTGATATGCTAAGTACTTTGCTATTTATTTTCATTGACTAATTCTGAGTTACGTGGAGAAATAGGCTTTGAATAATGTCAGCAAAAGCTCAATGAATTCTCAGAACATTTCTGTTCTTCCCCTGAATTGAAAGTTTTACCTAATACAAAATATACAGTGAAGATTCCTAGTTATAATTTGTAAATATAATCTCTAAAAATTCCTGACAGAGAATATGGTATTGCAGAGTTAATCATAGTAGGTACTTACATTGTATATATATATATTGATTTATTTCAGTTTTTATGATGAATTATTAGCCCATGGCATTTTGAAGCCTCTGACCTCTCCTATTGAAGGAATGATGATAAAAGAAGGAGACTGTAACTTTGTGGCACCTCAAGGAATTTCTTCAATTATTAAGCATTACTTGAAAGAATCAGGTAGGAATTTGATCTTCTCTGCTTTCTTTTAGAATTAGCATTTTAAAATAAAAGCTATATGTACAATTAAATGTTGATACCATTCATAAAATTATAAAAAGTATATACTCTTATATTTACCACTCAGCTAGTCTTTCTTGTCCCAAAGTAATCACTGGTGACAGTTTTCAGTGTATATTTTCAGACAAATGTTTGTGCTTTCAATCTATTGAGCTGTATGACTATGGTTATTTAGAGTTAGTATATGTTTATATTTGTTTATTTAAAAAAAATACACACACACACACACACAAAAGGAGTTATTTTACATAAACTATTTTGTACCTTGTTTGGTTCATACTATGGTCTCTTTTCATTTTAGCAAATTCAATGTGCTGTGTTTTCTTTAATGAATATCCATATTATATGGTACATATCTCCCATAATTTATTTAACAATTAACTTCTGTTAAATAATTAGGCTGTTTTCAGGTGGGAGATTGTTTTGGTTTTTGGTTTTACAAACATTGGTGTATGTCTAACCTTGATATAGTTTTGAAAGCATATTTGCAATAATATATGATGAAGGAGACCAAAATACTAATTATTGTAGAAATAGTTTAGGAAGCAAAACAAATTTTCAGCCTGTACTTTTCCTTCGTGATCTTAAATTGGGTAATTAGCTGAATTATTATTTGTCAAAAAAACCTTATTTTGTTTAGAGAAACAAGTTTCAAATTTTAACAAAACAGCTATGTCAAGCACTGTTTTCATTTTAAATTTAAGTTGTACTACATATTCTTCTTAAGGAATATCTCCTCAACAGTGAATGAGAATGTCTGTTTTCCCCATATCTGGGTATAATGGAAAATTTAATTTTGCCAACATTATAGGCTTAAAAATGGTATCTCTTTGTAGTTTTGACTTGTTATTTCCTTAGTTATGTGAGTATATTCACCTTTTGTTTTGTCAACCATATCTTTTTCTGTAAATGTTCTATGCCTAATCTTTGCCCATTTTCTATTAGAATTTTCATTTGTTCCTTACACACTTTATTAGTGGTTTTGAAAATGGGTTTTTAAAAAAGAAAATAGAACTTTCCTTGGAAAATAAATGATTTGTTTTCCTAAACAAAATAAGCTTTCTTGACATATCATAATTCAGTTAATTATCCAATTCAGGGTCACTAAGGAAAGGTATAAGCTGAGAATTTGTTTTTCTTCATCATTACTTATTGAAAACCCTAAAAATCCCTGAACAATATAACAAGTATTTACACAATATTTACAATATATTTGGCATTGTAAGTATCTAGAGATGACTTGAAGTATTCAGAAGTATGTGAATAAGTAGTGTGCATGAGAGGTCAGTGACATTGGATATGCAACAGCAGAAAATAATAAATACCATTCTGTGTTAGTCCATTTTTCTATCCAAGACTCAGACTGTGGTGGTTTATTATTCAAACTTTTCCAGAAAAATGGAACTAATAGGATATGCTGTTGGATCTCCATATCTGTAGAATAGATTCTGTATTCATGAATTCAACCAACGTCAGATCAAAAATACTGAAAAAAACTGCAGAAAGTTCCAAAGGCAAAGCTAGAGTTTGCTACACACTAAATACTATGTCGAATCCATGAGAATTAAGTGATGTGTAGTCAGTCATATCCTGTTATAGCCTCCTGTCATTTCATAGATCCTTATTCTCTCTCTAGCAGTAACTGAGCATTGTTCATGTTGTGTTTTACCCATGCACTATGTAGTTAGACCCAGGAGGGTTGCATCTGTACAGAACATGCACAGACTTTTTTCCTTGACATTATTCCCTAAACAATATAACAAGTATTAACATAATGTTTACAATGTATTTGGTATTATAAGAATCTATAGATGATTTAAAGTATTCAGAAGTATGTGAACAGGTAATATGCAAGTACTATGCCTTTTTATATAAGACACTTGAGCATCTGTAGACTGTGTTGACTTGGTCATGGAACCAATCCTAAGCAGATATAGAGGGATGACTCTGTGTGTGTGTGTGTGTACACATATATACTGAAAGAGAGAGAGAGATTTATTATATGAAATTGGCTCACATGATTATGGAGGCTGGAAAGTCCCAAGATTAGATGGGTAAATCAGCAAGCAAGACAATAGAAGAACTAATGGTATAGTTCCAGTTTGAAGACTGGCAGGCTTAAGACTCAAGCCAGTGCTTCAGTTCTAGGCCGAAGGCAGGGAAAAAACAAAAAGTCTATGACCTAGTTCCAAGGCTATCAGGCAAGAAGAATTCTCTTTTACCTGGGGAGGGGTGAAGATTTTTGTCCTATTTAGCCCTTCAGCCGATGAAATGAGGCTCACCCACATTAGGGAGGACAATCTGCTTTACTCCGAATTTAAACCTGATACTTGAAAACACTCACAGAAAACAAAAACAAACAAAGAAAGAACAAAAACCACTCACAGAAATACCCACCAAATATCTGGGCACTCCATAACCCAGTCAAGTTGACACATCAAATTAACCATTGCAAATAATGACATCATTTTACATATTGTAGACTGTCACCATCAGTTTTATGTTGTGGCACCATATAACTTTTAAAAATTTCATTTCCATCATGATTTTTCCTTGATCCATTTTATATATATATATATATATATATATATATATATATTCATTGAAATCCTGAAGTACTTAGTAACTGCATTATATATACATATGTACATCCTTTCATTCAGTAAGCATTTATTGAGTGCTTAAAATGCCAGACATGTTTAGGTACCAGTGGTAGAAGAGCTAAAGTTGTATGCTTACCAGACCTTAAACTATACTACAGTATAGAAGACACAGAGACAAACCTACATAAATACAGTTATCTCATACTAGACAAAGTTGCTAAAAACATATATTGAAGAAAAGATAGCTTCTTCAACAAATGTTGCTGGAAAAACTGGAAATCCATCTGCAGCAAAATTAAATTAAACTGCTATCTCTCACCATGCACAAAACTCAACTCAAAGTGGAAAAAAGACCTAAGAATTAGACCAGAGACTCTGCACCTAATAGAAGAAAAAGTAGGCTCAAATCTTCATCATGTTAAATTAGGTCCTGACTTCCTTAACCAGACTCCTGAATCACAAGAAATAAAATCAAGAATCAATAAATGGGATGAATTCAAAGTAAGAAACTTCTCAGCAAAGGAAATATTCAATAATGTGAAGAGAGAGCCTACTGAGTGGGAGAACATCTTTACTACACACATATCAGACAGAGCACTAATTTCCAGGATATATAAGGAGCTCAAAAAACTTAACACACACACACACACACACACAATAAAACAAAACAACAACAAAACAACAACAAAACCAAAATAAGAAAACAAATAACCCAATCAATAAAGTAGGCCAAGGAACTGGACATTTCTCAGAAGATATACAGTCGATCAACAAATATATGATAAAATGTTCAAAATCTCTAGTAATTAGAGAAATGTAAATCAAAACAAAACTACTCTAAAATTTCATCTCACTCCAGTCAGAATGTCAGTTATCAAGAAAACAAGCAACAATAAGTGTTGGCGAGGATGTGGGGGAAAATGTACACTCATACATTGCTGGTGGCACTGCAAATTGGTGCAACCACGCTGGAAAGCAGTATGGAGATTCCTTAGAAAACTTGGAGTGGAACCACCATTTGACCCAGCTATCCCACTCCTTGGTCTATACCCAAAAGGCTTAAAATCAGCATACTATAGTGATTGCAGGCACATCAATGTTTATAGTTGCTCAATTCACAATAGCTAAACTGTGGAGCCACCCTAGATGCCCTTCAATAGATGAACATATAAAGAAACTGTTGCCGCCACCAGTGGGGCCAATCTAGCAGGATCCAGCAAGGGGCTAAGAGGGATAAGAAAAATAAGACTCATGGACTTAGATTTTGTAGATAACAGCTGGGATCAGGTGGAGCACTGCTCTCTGATGAAGAAACAAGTCTGAAGAATTCTGCCAGCAATCTTTATATATATATATATATATATATATATATATATATATATATATATATATAAAATTAATCAGATTAAAGACTATGCAAGCATTATTCTTTGTATTCATGAAGGTTACAGAATTAGCAACATTATGCAGTTTATTCTGTAGTTATATTCTACAGTTACAATGCGCAATGTTAAGAGATTTGTGCAACTCTCAAGAAAGTCAGTTGTTTAAAGTTCCTGTTATGCGGACAGGTTCAGGAGCTGGTGTAACATTGGGGTTGTTAGCAAAAGAATTCCTTTTTCCCAGGAGCTGTGTGCCTGAGATCAAAATCAAGGCTGATAAGACTTTAGCACAGAGCCTCCTCATGTAGGACATTGCCATAGCAACTAGGCATCCTGCACCTTTGCACAAGAAACTTTCCCAGCCACCAAGCATGAAACAGCCATGAAGTCATCAGAGTCCCCAATCTCAGATACTGCTCTGATAAGTGGATGCTGATCCATAATTAGTGGGGGTGGGGGGGAGTGTTGTGTGTGAAGAATGGAGGAAATTTGGACAAAGAAGAGGGAAGGGGAGAGGGCATGGGTGGCAGGAAAGATGGTGGAATGAGATGGACGTCATTATCCTAGTTACATGTATGATTGCACATGTGGTGCACAATTCTTTGTAGCTAACACAGAATGTAACAGTATCTTGTACATGATAGGCACAGTGATACATCCACATGGTAGGCATCATATACAACCAAAGAAATGTGCTCCATTTGTGTACAATGAATTGGAATGAATTCTTCTGCCTTGTATAACTAATTAGAACAAATTCAAAAAATAAAAAAAATAAAGTCCAATGCTTATAGAGCTGATTTCCTGGTAGAAGAACACTTCTTAAATACTTTGTACCTAGTTCCCTATTTCATTAGATTTTTAGGGAGAATATATGTTTATCTTCCAGTTTTGCTTTGGAAACTTATGGGAGAAGAGATTTTTTTGTGTACTAGGATTAAACCCATGGGCCCTCTACCACTAAGCCACATTCCAAGCCATTTTATTTTTTATTTTGTGACAGGGTCTTGCTAAGTTGCCCAGGCTGGCCTCTAACTTGTGATCCTCCTGTCTCAGCCTCCCAAGTAGCTAGCATTACAGGTGTGCAGAATTCTTTGTAGCTCACACAGAATGTAGCAGTACATGGTAAGCACAGTGATACAGATTATTAATATGGATAATTTATGTAATTAGCATACATATTAGGTTGATGTATATTAGATGACTGTCAGTTCTCATTTAACCAATTCTTAGTAAAAATTTATTTATATTTTCAGTTTGTATAACACAACCCCTTGGGGTTATCATTATATAAAATGTTACTATTTATTTCAAAAAGTAATTCTTTAATAAAGAAGTATATACTCCTGATAGAAAATTTGGTCACTTTATTTATTTATCTTTGTACCGGGATTGAACCCAGGGGTGTTTAACCAACAAGCCATATCCCCAGTCCTTTTTATTTTTTATTTTGAGACAGGGCCTCACTAAGTTGCTGTGGCTGGTCTCAAACTTGCAATTCTCCTGCCTTAGTCTCCCAAGTTGCTGGGATGACAGGTATACACTGCTCTGGGATAGAACATTTGGTCATTTTAACTGAGGAGTAGTTAATGAGGGAGAAGGTAGTAAGAGATGAAGCATAGGAGTAAGACAAGGCTAGGTGTAAAAGACTTTGTAAGCAATGTTAAAGATTGTACACTTTAAGCGCAGTGGAAAGCCATTCACCAGTTTTATGCCTCTTTCCTAGAAACTTCAAGCCTAATAGCTTGGAAGGAAAACTTCCTGGTTAATAAGAGCAGCTATACCTTTTCCCCTACCTCTTGGTAAATCCTACTTTTAGAGTGGTTTTGACAGATGTCTACCCTGAGGTTCTCACACTTCAACATGCATTGTAGATAACCAGGCTGGGTAGATTGTTAAACATAGAATGCTGGACCTAATCCCTTGATTTCTGATTTGGAATTGTTGGGCCAGGGTCTGAGAATGTGCATTTCTAGTTCCTAGGTATGGCTAGTGCTGCTGGTCTTAGGGAACCACTAGCATACACCTTGCAGAACATCTTGTGGCCACTAGGATTCATTTTCAAGACACTCAGCTGGGGCATGGAGAATTTTCTAGGCCAGAGAACTTTAATAAATAAATAAAGCATCACTCTGGGTTGAGTAATGGAGATGGGGAATGAAAGTTGAAAGCACTGGGCTGGGGATGTGGCTCAAGCGGTAGCGCGCTTGCCTGGTATGCGTGCGGCCCGGGTTCAAATCTCAGCACCACATACAGGGATGTTGTGTCCGCCAAAAACTAAAAAAAAATAAAAATATTAAAAAAAAAAAGAAAGTTGAAAGCACTGATTATTTGCACCTTCCCCAAGTAGCTGCCTTGAAAAAATTCTCAGGCAAGTTGGAGAACAGTTCACAAGCCTTGCTTTAATCTTTGCACAGAATGATGCTCACCGCCTAAAATAGACATTGACCCCTTGACCTAGTTAACACCATGTTCCCAATGTGACTTGAACAAATTTGAGTGCTTACTATAGGTAGCATTATTCAAGCAACATGGAAAAGGTATTGGAGATCTGACATGAAGGAGCCTAGGATATTACTGGATAGATAATACTCAGGATGATTAAGACACAGCTAAAGCATGCAGATATCTTGAATCAATGTCAAGAATGAGTGGTAAAGACAGTGATGGTTGAAGGACATCAGAGATAGGAAGGATCCTACTGAGTAATTTACAGAGTGGCTACAGAGGAAGCTCTGTGGACAAGGTTAGGCTTAACTTGGATTTTTGGTGACTAGAAACATGAAAAAGTCTAGGTAATGATGAACATGAACATGATTCTTTTTAAAAAAAATATTTCTCATTCCATCTTCATTTCTTTGTTGTCTATACATGAGGCTAAATAAAATTGGATTTGTTTTTAAATCAAAGTTTTTCTAAATTCCAGAATTTGAGATATTAGCATAGTAAGCAGACTTAATGACTTAACAATACTTTCTTTCAGTTTATAGTTCTTAATACATTCTTTTAAGCAAATATTGAGTAAATACCTAGTCTGTGTCAAGTACTATGCTATGCATAGAAACAAGAATTTGTGGTTCATGAAACTTAGAATTCAAAAGATAAGACTATATAAAACAATAATTAGGGAAATAGTTATTAAAATGCTTTTGTGATAAATGCTAAGAATGGAAATGTGATGAGAGGGTACTCAATGTTTTTCCTGTTTCTAATTCTTCTTTATATATATATATATATATATATATATATATATATATATATATATATTTAGTTGTAGTTGGACACAATATCTTTTATTTATTTTACTTTAATGTGGTGCTGAGGATCAAACCTAGTACCTCACACATGCTAGGTGAGTGTTCTACCACTGAGTCACAACCCCAGCCTTCTAATTCTTCTTAATCGAGGAAACTGATCTATTGATGAGGACTTGCATTTCTCCTACAGAGACCTTAATCAGGTCGTTCAAAAAGTAATATTAATTTCATTGATAGAAATTATTATTTTTCTTGCTATTACTAGTGAGAACTAATTACTAACACCTTTACTGAAATGTATATATACTTAGTTTGCAAAGATGATGAGCTTTAGAGTTAGCTAGATATACTTCTAAATTATGGCATAATATTTCTTAATCTGTTTCCAGATCTGAAATAATTTGGTATAGTGTGCATGAAGCACTTGGCATATAGTAGATAATGAAAGATAGCTATGCTTACTACTACTACTCCTAATTTTGTTTTACTACTACTGTCATTGCTGTTATTACTTGTAATAGTGTTTTTTAAAATCCAGACACTTATTGTAAGGATGTCAAAAAGGAAAAATTGCCACTAAGAAACTAAGTAAAGAAAGAGAACAGTGGGGACTATAGTAGACAAGTTTGAGCATATTTTTTCACCAGAGTGGATACAATTTACCACTATTCACTTGTCCCTCATTCATATGGAAAATTCTGAGAATGTGAACACAATTTATATTTTGGAGCAGGTGCAGAAGTCTACTTTAGACAGTGTGTGACCCAGATCAACCTGAGAAATGACAAGTGGGAAGTCTTCAGGGAAACAGGCTCCCCTGAGCAGTTTGATCTTGTTGTCCTCACCATGCCAGTTCCTCAGATTCTGCAGCTTCAAGGTGACATTGTGAACTGTAAGTCTGCTTTGCTTTTTACCTACTCAGGGAGTGGGATTTCTTCAGTAGAGTGTGAATTTGCTCTAATTCTCTTAGTGAAGTATGCATTATAGATTATATTGATTTCATGTCTTAAAAACTGCTTATGGCCTAGTTTGTGATATTAGGCCTGCCAAAGTGAAACCCATATAATTGTTTTTAAATTAGTTAAAAGTTGAGCTTTTTTCTTATTATCCTAGCCTTTAAAAAGGCAGCATTGTTGATGGATGTGCAGTGCTGTTGCCTAAAAGAGTAATTTCTTTGTATGCATACTGGAGAAAAGGAGGGTTTTTTAATATATATCAGTTCTTACTTGAGTTGTCTCATTTCCTGTATTTTTGCTCTTTAGGTTGCCCTCTAAGTATTTACTCCTGTTTGAGCAAATAGCCTAGCTTCATTGTGAAAGAGGCACAGAGAAGGGATGGTTGGGAGGATGGGGGTGGGGAGGAAATTATGCCAAAGGAGCTAAAATTATGTTAAAAGAACCAAAATTATAATGAACTAAAATCCAAAAGAAATTTATCTGTCTGTATAAGGAAAGAAAAAAGTGTTCTCTTGCTAAAAATAACAAAGGTATATTTTAAGGAGGAATATGATGACTAGATGAGTAGAATGACTAGATGAGTAGAATATCATATCTTATTTATCAAGTCTGATGTCACTATTTTATAAAAATGAATCAGTTTTTATGTAGAGAGAAAGCATTAAACCATTGTAGATCATTTTTAATGAGTCCAATTTTTAAATTTATCAACCTGAGAAATGACAAGTGGGAAGTCTAGAAAGAACGAGGCTCCTCTTGATTCTTGTCCTCATGATGCCAGTTCTTGATATCTGTAGGGGGCATTGATTTTTTAAGTTTCAAATTTCACTGGATTGGTACAGAGTAAGGGACTGTACAAAGTTGCTCTCTAAGAAAGCTGGAATGTGTGAAAAAATGGTAAGGAAACTAGTGTGGAATGACCTTATCACCACATTCTGTTTCTTTATGTCAGCTAAGTCTGATTTTACCATCTACCTCCTCAAAAGATCAACCTCAGTTTAATTCCAACACAGAAAGAACATGATGTGAGTCCTCCGTTTTCAAATAAGGTTGTGTTCATGAATTAACCTTTTCAAGTTTCAGAATCTCTTCATTTGAACCTGGTAAAATTGTTACATATGGTGATAATAGTTAATGAGTTACCATTAAATTTGATTTCATATTCAAATTTTGTAGTGTCATCAGTAGGCTCTAATAATTCTTAGTATTTATTTCTAATCACCTACTGGGGAATATTATTGAGTACAGAGAATTATTACTCAGTAGATTTAATATACTGATTAGAATTTGCAAATGAAGGTAGGGTATTGCTAAAAGTCACTCTCCAATTATGTACTGTGTGTTTATAGGCTTTATATATTTTATATGTATATATGGTTTGTATGTTTCAGAAATATTGTGAAGTAAGATATTTTTATTTGACAATATTTTGCTTTGTTAATATTTAGGTAATTAAAAACAGTGTTTAAATAGTGACAATTACTAGATTGATCTGTAAAAAAACATGATTTTATAGGTTGAAATGGTGATAAATCGACAATTGCAAGTGATCCAACCAAATATGCTATATATTGATAGAAAGGCTGAAGAAAAATAATGATTAATGCCAGTAATTAGTAACATAGACCTGAAGGCTTTTTACAATTATGAAGACTACTTTATGCACTTCTCTTTGGATATGTTATTTCTAATTACAGTGCTATTCAGATTTTTCATGAAGCATAACACTTTAATATCCCAATCTTTTGTCTTTATCTTTTAAATTTATGTTACTTTTATCCTTTATAAGTCTTTGAATGTTTCAATTGGCTTAGCAATATTCACTTTAGATATTAAACTTTGTTTAACTTTTTTTTTCAGTATAAAATGTGTGGTGGCAGGAGTGTGTGTTAGGTTTTATTGCTGGGTATGGTGGCCCATGCCTATAATCCCAGTGATTCCAGAGGCTGAGGCAGGAAGATCACAAGTTTGAGGCCAGCCTTAGCAATTTAGCAAGGCCCTAAGCAACTTATCAAGACCCTATCTCAAAATAAAAAGTAAAAAGGGCTGGGATGTAGCTTAATGGTTAAGCACTCTTGGGTTCAATCCCCAGTACAAAAAAAAAAAAAAAATGAAAAGAAAGAAAGAAAAAGAAAAACTGTGTTTTGAGGTCTGACTTCTTGTCCTTTCCCCAAATAGACTTTAGTCTACAAGTAGCAAATTGAGAAATGTCCTTTACATGCAAATGCCTTTCCTAGCTGTCAACTATTATCCATTTTCAAGGATGGGAGTGGGGAGTTGGATAACCAAGGTTTTCTACACTGTTCCTCAGAGTATCTAGTACATGTTGCCAGAAACTTCTAAATCCACAGACATCATTTTCCTACTAAGACTGGGTACTAATGAGATGGTGACAGCAGGAAGCTTGCCAGCAACCAAAATAGAAATTATAATATACGTGTGAAATGTAGGATTCCTTGTATATATTGTAAGTCTAGAGGTAAAGAGGATAGTATCTGCAAAAGGTGTGTGTGTGTGTGTGTGTGTGTGTGTGTGTATGTGTTTATGTGTATGTATGTTAGGGGACAGGGGTTCTTAAAACTGATGTTCCTGTGCTAAGTGCTGAGGGAGAGGATTCAGATATAGAAACTAAGGGAACAGAGGTATTAAGTAGGGTAGGGAGGATATATTTCTTCAAGTAGGAACACTTGCTCAGTTAACTCTTGTTTTATCAGGACAGTTTTTCTTACTGATACTGAAATTCTAGTTGATAATGTTCATTTTTAACATAGAATACTCAGGGTTAGAAGAGGCCTTAGAGAGCATCTAGTCTCATGTTTTAGCCCTTATATGAGTCCTTTTTAAAAAAATCACTATATTGAGACATGACTGACTTGTGAAAAGACGTACATATTTAATGGATGCAACTTGATAAGTTTGGAAATAAGTATCACTGAAGTCATCTCTACAATGTACATCATAACCATATCCATCACCTCCAAAAGTTTGCTCCACCCTCTTTGTTTACTATTTTTAAATTTTGCAATAAGTTCTATTCTATTAGCAAAATTTTAAGTATACAATACAGTTTTATTAACTATGACCGCTATATTATACATATAATCTCTAAGATTTATTCCTCTTACATAACTAAATTTTGTGCATTTTAGCTAAAGCCCCCTGTTTTCCTATCCCCTAAGTCCCTATAATGAGCACTATAGAAAAAAGTCTACTCTCTTTTAAATTCATACAACTTTTTCTTATAGCATTGGGATTGAACCCAGGGCCTTTGCACATGCTAGGTAAGCATACAGTTATGTCCCTAGATTCTCTCTTTAACTCATAAATCTCAATAATGACATCTGTGAGGAATTAATGTCTACCTTTCAGGTTTTTTTTTTCTTTTTGAGAAACTTAAATTTGTTCTTGTTTGATTATTAAGCAACACTTTAAGTGGCTTTTGAAAGATATTCACTTCCAAAACCATATATTGCCATCTAGTGGGTCAATTATATATTACAATTCCCTCTAGAATCCTTAGACCAGAGAGGACTATGATTGGAACATAGGATAAAAAACACTGTGACTACCACAAAACCACATATCACTGGGAAAGAAATTTAGCCCCATGAGAACTAACTTGCCCAAATGGGCAAGATTGGTTAGTGACAGAAATAAAATGATATATGACACACTTTTTTGTACAGAGTCTTTGGTTTTTGTACAGAGTCTTCTGTTTTTCCTCTCATTCTCTTTCCAAATCATATGTACTCTTTAGAATAAAAAAAAAAAAAACATGTCTTAGATGAAAGAATTTATTTTTGATACTAGTGTGGCTCGGATTTTTCTGTTATATCTTCCTCTATTTTGTTTTTAATGGAAGGAACAGAACAGTTTTAGTTTTTTTTTCTTTTGGCAATTTTTAACAATTATTTATTACATTATTTACACTTAAAGAATAGGAGAACTTCATGCACCATATAGTGAACCCCGATTTATATATAAATATATAAATATATATATATAATATATAATGGTTCTATAATTCTGCTACTCTCTCCATATTAATATTACAGAGATTATCTTTAGTTAATCCTCAAAGCCACACAGGCATCATCATCTCCTTTCTTGAAGTCACAATAGAAATGTGACCTCAGTAGTGGGGCTCTAGAGCCTGTAGTCCTAGCTGCTGCTGTTCATGGCTGTCCAGTACGTACTGTATATTAGACTCTCCTGTTACCGATTGCTCGCTTAGTGTCCTGCTTATTCTTGATGAAAGCAACAGCTAAAAATAAATAAAATAAAATAAAAATGTAAGGGCACTTTCATGAAGATTTTTACTCCTAAGATTTATATAGGGTTCAGGAATTTTTATCTTTGACAAGAACCCTACAGGATACCCCTACCCTAATCTACCCCCCACCCTTTGGCCTGTTTGGGATATTCTGTTTGTTCATATTATTCACCACATTTTACTGTAATTCTTATTTTTCAGTTAGTGTCTCCCCAGTAAATCATAAAATCCATGAGGGAAAAGGTTCCATATAACTCTCTAGCCCCACCCAGCATCAAGCACCGTATCACACACAGACCCACAAACTACTAGTGGTTGTTCAATCCATTCCTGTAGGATGGCTGTCTTATTTCACAACTTAATGATAGGTTTCTAGGGTCAGAGAGTTTTAGAGTCTTTTGATCCCTGTTTGGTACCTTATTCATCGGCTAAAAGAGTGAACCCCGGATGGATCATAGAGTTTTAGAACTTGTAGGAAATTTGGGGCTTATAGCTTCCCATCCACTCTGATTTTGGAGATGTAAAGTGAAACTCTTTTTTCATATATCTATGGGTCATTTAGATTTCCTCTTGTGAATTCTCCAATTAGCTCCTATGCTTTATTTTCTAGTGGGATATTTGTTTTGAGAAGTATTTCACATATGATGTTACAGATATTCCCCA